TGGGCTTTTTTGGCAGTTTGTGGATATTGTTATCATTTAATCTTACCCCCTGCAGCAGCCTAACAATTCTACCCTGTAAATTCTTCACTTGTTTGAAGACTTAAAGAAAATTTGCTTAAATCTCCCAACCATCTGCTCCAGTACTCATTTATCTTGACAATTCAGATTTGCTTATTTCTAATTTAAAGCTTTCATACTTGTGTCTCCCCAGCCTTGGATTTTGTTATGCCTTTTCTTAGGTTAGATTAAGAGAAATGCAGATGAAAGCATATAACACTGTTCCCTTTTCATCTGTCACATTATCTGCCCCTGGGGCTCAGGCCAAAGGACTCTAAAAAGAATACATGACCAGAGTAGTCTTTGTTAGACTAAAGCACATGAGGAACTGCTCTGGAAATCTAGAGACTAATAAAGCAGCTTTAACAGGCTGGAGCATCTGGCCTTCTACATATTTTCCTTCAGCACTTCCACCAACTGTTGTTTGCTCGTATCTACTGGAGTCTGTTTACATAGATTTTGCCCAATCTGCTCTTTCTGGTAATGTTCATATTGTTGTATGTTTATGTGGAGAAATTAGGGGAAGAGGAAGAAAAAGGATATGAACTGAAATATTTACGTCGTCTAGAATGATTTAAACTGAAATGATCCTCATCCATGCTGGAAGCTCAAAGCACAGCAATACAAAAACTGAAACTGCATCAAAAAGAAAATAAGACTTGCTGGGCTCGTTATGCTAGGCAGACTGTTTGGAAAGTCATGCATAAAATAATTAGTACTAACCTCCTTTGCAAATACAACAATTTGAAAATGAATTCATTTGTATTGCATATGTGTAGCTAGTTAGAGACCAGATAACTGTTATAATATATCTTAGATGATTCTCAGATGTTACCATCATACTTATTTCCATGGTCATTGTAAAATGTATCCCCAGATGTCACATGCGACTACTGAGAAGTGCAGCGGTGTCAGGATCACATGCTGCGGGCTGAGTCCCACGAACATCAACTGGTTGCAAGAATGGTGCTGGCAGCAACACTGCACTGAGTGCTCTGGAGGGGAGTAACCACTGTGTTGCCCTGAGGACATTTTTGTAATTGAGTCCACTTGATCAGCAGAACCTTTACTAAGACATAGACTGCTTAGACTAATTGAAAAATAATATACATACATACATACATACATACATATATATATATATAAGAAAGAAAGAAAGAAAGAAACCCCCAAGACCTCTACAAGTAAGAAAACTAAACTTTTGGAACTTACCTCTGGATCTAATGTCATTCTCTGTACAGTAGCTGTAGGTGGACTGACTCTTCAGGTGTGGGCTCTTGCAAGACCAGATCCAAACCAAGGAGACACTAGAAACAAGCCTATTTGCAAGTTTAAAGAGAAAAAGAGATAGATTTTTCTATGCTTAGTGCCACTTGGGCATGAAAATCTCAGCAGTGCTCCATAAAAAAAACATACTTCCATCTTACTGAGGTATGAGCTGAGGCATACTGCAGTTCAGGAGTCACCAAATAGCCCCAGTGTGCGTGAGTTGCAGAGGAAGAGTCAGGAGTCCAGTACTTTGGTCTACACAGAGACAGTAAAGGAAAGACGCAGAAAATGCCTTGGGTGGATTAATGCCTGTCACTCATAGCTCTCAAGAAAGCATATTTGAGTTTCTGTGATGAGAGAAGCTGACATCCACAGAGTCAAACACATGGAGTATTTCCAGTGAAGGGCTGGTGTTTCCCCTAGTCCTTGAGAAGCAAAATTTCCTACTGCTTCCCATTGAATTCTATTCTACAATATGTCAGCCCAAATGCATACCTATAGTGCTTGGGATTTTTATTAGGAAGCCAAAACCACGCTGTTTATTTTCTAAACAAGAATACTACAACCCTCCACCATCTCACCTACATGCCACAGTCTAATCAATACCTACCTCCATTTGAGCATCCCACCACCTCTCTCACATGATACAGAAAAGCCCTGGAACAATTAATTACTAGGCACGGCTATTTTCTACTTAGGAAGCAAAAAATAACAATCTTGGCATTCTATTTTTAAATAATAAATAGAAAATATTTATTTTACAGCATTTTCAAGATCATTTTGACCAAAAGGCAGTTTTCATCAAGCATTTGACAGACCAAAAGAAAGAACTTTTACAGGAAGCTTCATAGCTCATACAACTACATATACGAGGTGAGTTCTTGCTTTTTAGATATATTTATCTATGTGTATGTTTCCAGTTTTAACAATTACAAACTAAAAGCTAATATACTGAAGTTCAAGAAAACTCCTACTCATGATATAATTACATTGCAGTAATAAAATCAGTGCTTAATATGTTCAAAACATACAGATATTAAAACGATAGTACCTTGTTACATTGCCGTCTCCCATCTATATGAGCCTGTTATTTTTGTTATTTTTCTTCTTTTTATCTATCTCATTCTTCAAAGACCAGCTGCCTAGTGCTAGTTCTGTGCTATTGACAGAGTATGTTTTTGGAAACAGCACAACAAATCTTATACTGAGATTATAAGAAGATAGAATTCATTGCCACTGTGGTGATCAGGAAAGAAAATATGACAATCTTCTCATTGCTTTAATGAGAAATCAGCATTAAAAAAAAACTAAACAACAAAATTATTCCCGTAAGAGCCTCGAGCAGACAAAAATCTACCAACTGACCCTCAGGTGTCTTTAGTTCATTATAGAGACATCAATCTACTGACAAAGATATAACCATGTCTTTAGGCAAAGTCATTTCATGCTTTCTACACAGGGACAATGGTAGGATTTGACCACTAGCCATACTGAAAGGAGCAAACATCATGAAAAGAGAATGAGGAAAAAAAAGCTCTATCTGGTTTTGAGCACCAGCCAAACCTTCCAATACCAGTAATATGTAAGTACATCAAAACAGTGAGATTTGGATCTTCAGAGAAGAATTGATGACTGGCAGCTGGACTTCTTAAAATTCAAGTGAAAAAAAGAAAACTAGTGGAAATATGCTGAATTAAGAAAAAACCTGACAGAATATTCACAAGAGGCATGGTTAAAATCAGGTTTTGCAACTATATTAATATGAAGAGATTCCTTAAAAATATCTTTGGAAATCAAGTGTAGAACTGTGGGACAGATCCTCAGCTAAATTCAACAGCACAATCAAAGTTCATAGCAGCTAAAATCCTGTCCTGTATATGTATAATATGCACATTTATAAATAGGGTAACAATAAATATAATTAAGTTCAAGCCCTGGCAATTAGACCTGGACTTTGAACATGCCAGCCATTGGGGAGCTTTGGATTAGGCCCATCTCTAGGAAACACATGAAGGATAAAGGAGGAGGAATGAATGACAGAACTACAGCTGCTTAGAAGTGATCTTTAAGATACAACATTGTATATTAAATAGAAGAAGTGAAAGCATCTGCAAAAAAGCACACAACTGAATATCATAAGGAAATTAAAAGAACTGTTTATAACAAACCCTGGGGATTTATGCACACATTAAGCACTGATGAAATATCCTGTCCAGACATGATTTTATTTTAAATTATCTGAAGCAATAATTACTTTTCCCATCTCACCTTTATACTGGCATATGCAACATTTCTAAAACAGACATTTTTCTTTTTGTGTGGTTTTTTTTTTCTTAACCACTCTTGTTGCAAACATGTAAAATAACGAGTTCTCAATGCACTGATTATTAATACCATATTTCTACTTCATAAAATATCTGCAAAATAAAGCACCCGATTATAAGGGTAACAACTTTCTCAGCTTGTATATGAAAAAAATATATTAGCACAGCATACAAACCTCCAAAGATCTACTGAATATTTGTAATAATGTGATATAAAACATGATTTAAACATAAAAATATTCATAGTATATATGACAATCTTCCAGTGGTATTTATGGGACATCACACTTCACACATACTGTACACACACATACAGAAACACAAACGTACGCTCACTCCCTTGCTTCAAGACTGATTTTATAATCCCAAGTATGGAATTACCTTTCTTTCATAATAATAGTTGTTGCTCTAAGTATACAGCTATTGTCCAGTGTATTTTATTCCAAAGTAACACAAAGGAATGATGTAATCACATGGCAAATATGTTGTACTATGAAAAGTTAGTCCATAAATATTGTTCTGCTACAGGAAACATTGTGTAACAGTTTAGCCACATGGTTTGCAATCTTATACAAAAGAGCAGTTTTTCTAAGTCCTTATCATATTACAAATACTACAGCAAAGGCTTTCTTCAGAAACCTCTCGAGTCTTAGCTTGATCATATTTCTTGCTCTGTTCACAATCAGCATTAAAAAAAGCCTAGATCGCCCAAAAAGCAGCCTAGGATGAAGAACAAATTGTTCAGACAAGAGTCAATAAGAGCCATGTGCTTTCACATTATCTCAGCTCCTCTCCCCCAAACACATTATGCAGTTATACCACCTATGGAAACCAGGAAAAAAAAATGTATATATGTACAAGTAGCTCCGTTCCTCCTCACCGCACTCCGCCCTTCCAGCTCCTGGGTATGTTGCTTCCGTAGCAGACAGCAGTCATGAGATGTGCTAATGACTTCTCTGGGTCACACTTCCCAGAGTCCTTTTCAAGCATTGCCAAGAGGGAGTGACTAAGTGTGATGATTTTCTTTTCTTTGTTTTGTTTTTTCCCCCCCCCTTTTTTTTTTGCTATAGAAGTTGTCTCTTGGGTTGTGCTTTGTTAAGGTTTTCTATAATTTTTTTCAAAGTACAGTATTTTTATTTTTAAAAGCTAGATAATTTTGAGCCCTCAGAATGGATTTTTTTTTCTTTTACTTTCCTTTATTTGTTTATTTAAGTGCAGGATGAAATTTTTGCCCTGTCATATGTGACTTTGTTCTCCGCTCTCTCTCCACCGGCCCTGGGACACTTGTCTCCCCAGGACCTCCCAGGAGGCAGCTGCCAAAGTCCTTTTCGTCTTGTCTCTTTACAGAGTCTACAGTGTGGACGAGCTTTGCTTATAATCCCTCAGTATGACAGAGGCATAGGTCACATCTGGGGGGGTGCAGAGTACAGACTCCGAGACAGGGGAGCTGGGCACAGAGCTGCCTGAAGCCACTGAATCTCGGAAGGGAGATGGGGGCGTCAGTGCCGGAGAGTCTTCCAGGGTGAGCTTGCTGGTTGCCAGCTCCTCATCTTCCTCCTCCTCCGCGTTCTTCTCATAGACATATCCCTGAATGAGCTTCAGCTTCTCACTCTCCGCTTCCTCGGCTGGGGGAGACAGGGGCTCCTCGCTGAAGGCAGCCACCTGGAGGGGTGGCAGGGATGGCTGCTGCAGTGAAGGGGGCTGGTAGGGGGGCTGCACGCCATTCCCGGAGCCGGGTGCGGAGAGAACAGTGTTGAAGTCGGGGATGCCGGTGGCAAACTTGTTGACCACTCCTTGCAGCTGGTCCATGAGAGACCGTGGCTGCAGGGGCAAGGTCTTGGGGGTCTGATCAGGCAAGAAGAGGTGGGTCTCCTCTGCCGTGGCCTGCAGTGGAGGGGTTGTTGCCACTCGCCTGTGCACCACCATGGAGGGGCTGCCAGGCTGGTTGAGGCGAATGAGCTCTCTATCTTCTTCCTCCACCACATTGTACAGAGTCTTACTGCTGTTGTCAGTAAAAGTCAGGCTCTTGCTTTGGCCATGGTAGCTTTTAGTGAGGGGTTTGATCACCGCTGTCTGATTGCACCCTGTCTCCTGGCTCTTCACATGCACTGAGAGTCTGTGCCACGTATGTTCGCCCTTGGGAGTTTGTCTTCCACCTGGTTCAGACCATGACACAGACTTTCCATTAGAACTATGAATAAAATAAAGATGGGTTTATTTGCATTTACATTACGCAGACACAGGCAGTATAACAAACAACCCTACAAAAATACTGATTTCTTTGCCCCATTAATAAGCCTCCCCCCTCCAGTGCTTCATGTCCTCCTGGGAATACTACAGAAGGAAACAACAGTGTCTTTTAACAGCAGCAGTTCCTGTGATTTTTCATTCAAATGCAATTACTCCCTGCTGGTTACCAACCCCACTGTCTGCCTGGAAAGCCTAGCCTGTGGGAAGGGCTCAGAGAGGGCTAGCTGTGATTCGAGGACTCTAGCTATGTCATTTGGTATCTAGGTTTGCTCATCCAACCTTGTAGGGAGGAAGAAGAAAAAGGGAAAAAAAGTCACAGGAAGAGCTTTAATTAAGCCTGCTTTACAGTTTATAGGAAATATTTTCAGACTGTTGGAAGAAAAACAACCCACAGCCTTAGCCTTTGGCATCGTAGGTGGAGAGAGGAATTGTTACTAATCCCGCTTTACCTTTTTATTCCCTAGCCCTCCTTTGTATTTAGGAACGGATTAGCTTTTACAGAAATGAAGAACTCACAGGACCTCCATCAGGTAGGAGGCAAACTCACTTCTTCCCAAGCAACTATTATTTACAAACCAGGATAAAATGCTGAGATTGAAAACAGTTGGTTTGTGTGGGAGGAGGAACAAACAGTGACACGATCAGGGCGAGTCAAACCCTTCGACTCCACATGTGCACTAGATCCCATCAAAATGCTGGGCTGTTTGAGTGAGGACCTGAGGGTCAGATCTGTCCCTGAGGAATTGCAGTGGTTTTTTGCATTTCCCTGTGCCTTTGCAGGGAGTGGCACTCAAGGCAGAGTGATATCTCATTAGCAGCTCATGGGACAGGGAGCTGAGCAGTGCTTTAAGAGGACCAGGCAACTGTTTAATTGCAGGTCAGACAGTAGAGACCATTTACAAATTATAATATACATCACCAGGGTGGAAACCAGAGACCAGAGAATAATTCTGAGATTATTTATGCGAAGCGGCCTTATCTCAGGGTTTTATCCCTCAGGAGGCAGAAGTAAATGAAGAATTAAATTTCAGATCCTGTGATTGCAGTGCAGGTGGGAGGCAATCTGGGTGGAAGGCTAGCACAGCAGCATTGGCTCCTGCTACTGCACACACCAGGGGAGATTGCATCCCTTACACACAGCTTGCAATATTATTCTGAGTATTTCGTTTTTCCTTGCTCATACTCCTGCACTTCTCTTTTTCAGGGAGTAAATAATTACCAGTTGAACTTCGCAAAAAAAATATTGCCTGACTTTGTGATAGCTGGAAAAAGCTGGTACAACACAGATTATGTTGTAATCTGGCAAAACAGAAAAGAAATGTACATGACAATGTGGCACTTTTCTGCTGAGTAGCAAATATTCCGGAGAAAAAGACAATTTGAGATGGACTCAAGCTGGGAATTTCATCTCCAACTCTGGGTTTCAAATGCTGGACCTGTGACTCACCATCTCTGTGGGAACTGGCTCACAAAGCACGTAGTTGGTAAGACCTGGAACTGTTTGGATTTAGAGCTTTAACCTGGGAGGGGAGGGGGTGGGAAGGAGTCCAAGTCCCCAGCTGAAGAATGAAACCTTTGTATTATAGAGATCATGAAAAGATAAGAATGAAGGTTTAGAAGCATTCCCTTTTTGATCAAAATGAGCTGTGGCATGACATTTTTCTGAAGTGCTATAGAGATAAGCAAATGAATGTAACTGCTGTGCATTAAGGATTTTTAAAGTAATATTTTAACATACCAAGATCTACAAACTCCACACAGAAACACATTTTGTGTGCTTTGACTTCAAAGCCAGTCTCTTCTTGTAGAGAGGAAAATAAGTCAAGTGCTCTCATATTGTATTTTTGCTGATGCTATAGCTTACAAATTCTGCAAAGGGCTTTTTAAAAACATCATGATGATTATATGCTATCTCTTATCCTAAATCCAATTCTGCATCATTTACTTCTTCATATCTAGCTCTGGTGTGTCATCTCCCTTTTGAATCCCTCCTCACACCATCTGTTTAGTCTCTATCTCATTTTGTTCCCAAGATGTTGTGTTTTACATCAAAGGCAAGACTGCTATTTTAAGGAACTCCCTACCTCTGTCTTCAGATCTTCTCCCTATTCAGTTCATTTTCTTCCCTCTCACTCTCAGTTTCTCTTCTTCTGACTTTGATCTTCTGTAGCTCTCTCCATAATGTACTTCATGGAGCCCAAGCCAATGGCCTTACTTAAATCAAACTGCACTGGGACTGCAACACCCAAACATGAACAAACCGCTTAATCAGGATTTATCTGTTACCTACTTGCCCTATGGGGAAAGCTTATGTCACTGAAGCATCTTGCCTCCACTTGCCAGGCCTTACTGCTCATGACTCCAATGGTCTTGTGACAAATAAGTTTAGAACCACAGTGTCTCTCTGTGGGGTCTATGTGGTGATTTCGACCAGGAAACCTCTCTTTTCTGTTACTGTTCTCCTCAGTTCCTTGTTTCAGCTCTTTCCTCACCATGTCTGTGCACTGTTAGCCTGTTAATAAGTCATGCTTGAAGTGGAGTCACAAGACCGTCATAGAAATACTTGGGCTCTGTCTTGCTGGACAGCTGGTAGGGAGTCATGCTGAGATTGACATGTTCAGGCAGAATCAACAATTAACATGCAAGAAAAATGCTTGTTATCCTGGAACAAAGACCAGCTGTCTTGAATGGCATTAATTGACATTTAGTCAAAAAGTGAAGATGGGGCTGAAAAAGCTCAGATCTGAACTAATTCCTGGCAGGATAGAAGTCAACTCACTTGTGCAAAGCAATCTTGACTGTATGTGGGATGCATGGTCACCATTTGCTAAGTGATTGTCACCTTCTTTTTTGAAGGAAGCACTCATGGGTGAAGGTGGAGATCAAAATAATCTGTCTGGTATAATGGGAGAAGGGATTTTTCCATAAGAAGACAGGAGGGGCAGCAAGTCAGATTGCAGCTGGGATTTTGAAAACATGGTGTTCGATTGCACAGTGACGAGTTGGGACTAACTGGTGTTTTCTTGCTTTTATCAATAGAACCATTACCCATTTCATGCCCATTATGTATTTATTTACTTTTCCTAAATTTCTCTTTCTTTTATACAATTTCCCATAGGATTCAGACTTCACACTTCGAAGTGAACTCTGTTGAGTCTCAATGAATCTTAAGGTTTGTAGTTGTGTATACCCAGTGTAACACTCAAAGTACTATTTCTTCAAGTCCTTGCATCTAGTCTAAATGTTTATGAAGGTTCTTGGATCATCAGCACATAAGATGGGCTTGCTTTTGCTTTATAGGCAAGGAGATGCATTGTATTTAGTTGCTGTTTCTCAGTTTTGACCACAGCTTTGTCTAGGTTTTTCATATTTTGGAGGAATAGATAGAAGTATATTTGTTGTGTTAATTTTTATTAGTTCCATGAGCAGATCTGTTGCTATTTTTGGTAATTCAAAGTGTTGTTTTTAATACAAGCATCAATCTTTACAATGTACTCTCTGCATGACTTCAGGGCAATAATTTTCAGATACGTTCAGCTGGTGATTCTAGACACTAAACAAGCTGGAAAACAGCTTCAGACCTTAATAGTTACTTACAGAAAGTCTGTAAAAGAACTGATGTACCCAAATCTGGGATCGTGGTCCAAAATACCCCTGCCTAGCCATTTCCTACCTGAGGACATGCCTACATCTAGTTAGATGGCTAACTGTTCATTGTTAATTATCTCCAGCTGCTAAAAATGCCACTCCTGCTCGTAACTAGGACTGCCTCAGACTCAAATGCAGTCACAGGCCAAGAACAGAGTCCTGCTCCTGCCAGTACCAGGGATATCTGACCTTGTTGGCTTCCTTGGAGCAATGTTGAGTCTAAGCACCTCACAACAGGTGGTTCCTCCCCACATGGCAGCGTCCTGAAGATGTCTTAATTTAGACATTGGACAGCAAAGGAGGAAGATGATTGCCCCATTTCTGAAAGCCAGTGGTCTAAGGTAATCTACTCTGTGCAAGTCTCACCAGCAAAGCCAGGGCATAGAGAATTAGATAAACATTCAGTTGTGTGTGCCTGAACCTTTGTCTTTTTCACCTTGAACATTCTATGCATAATAATCCCTAATTGATACCGAATGAAATGGTTGAACAGAGTGAATAGACCACCTTCCAAGGTGCTCTGATGAGGTTAACTTTAAGAACAGCCACATCAGCAAATGAATCCTTATCTGATACAGGGCTTGTCAGCCTTTTCTGAGTGAAACAGCTGGAGATGCTGTCAGGAAACGTGCTTGATAAAGGGCCCTTCCAGGTAAAAAGAAAGGCACATTCCTTGATCTGTTAGAGTTCATCCCCTTTATTTCATACCTTTAGCATGCCAGAGTTGTGGTCTGTCATATTCTCCAAGTAGCCATGATCTGATGGAGCATCTTAAGCTTGCTGAGATGAGGGATACAGTCATTTGGGCTAGGCCTGGTGGTGTCAGATAAGATTTGAGGCAGAGATATATAATATAGGGCTGGTTGGTTTGGTTTGGTTTGGTTTTTGGTGTTTTTCTGTTTTGGTTTGATGTTTTGTTTTGTTGTTTTGGGTTTTTTTTCCTTCCTTTGTTTGTTGGGTTTGGTTTTTTGTTTTTGTTTTTTTTTAAGCAGCAATGACAATTAACCAGTGGAAGAAGTTATAGGAGAAGTGATAGATGTTCCCTTTCTTTCATTGTCGGATTGATGTTTTGGCCAAACCTACCTCCTTGTAGTCACTATATTAACTGAAATGCCACAAACAGTAGGAAGCATTGGAATAACCTAGTGGTCCCTTCTATGAAGCTAATATTTTAGGAATGAACATTAGATGCGACCTGAAAAGGGGCTATCAGCTCTGTAAACAAAAATTAGGTTCAAACCAAACCCTGCACTATCTTATCAGCAACCAGATGAGGTTACTGCCCAGTCAACA